GGGTTTTGTTTAGTTTTGCATATTGTAATGAAGTAAGCATAGTATCACTGAGTACCTACCCCTCCTTATAGGAAGAAATGTCAGATTTTCAATGCTGCAGTTGAGGATTTTTGCTGTAGTTTGTGGTTTTGTTTTGTTTTTCAATGATCAGGAGCTACTGTCAGCAATTGCCATGGAAGAAAGAAGAACAAGACGTGTAGCAGACATGCAAACACCCCCATCGTAGGGACAGTGGCTTCAACCAAGATCAACTGCAAGGGATGCACGGAAAATAACCAGCCAGCAAGTGATACGCGAGTTACTTCTACTGAGATCTACCAAAGAGTTTGACTTAAGGAATTCAAAGAATTAAGGAAAGTTATGCCACTGCCTCGGGCTTTTTTAAAGTATTAAGTCTCAACTATGAACCAAAGCAATCAGAATAAAGACTAGGAGCCTCGACTATCCATTTTGCAGGGTATTTCATAGCTCACTCTGTGTTTACACCCTGCATCAGGGAAAGGGCAGCACAAAACAGCTCTGCGAGTGCAGCCGAGCGTGCAGCAGGAACAGAGGGGCAGCCACAAAGCTCCAGCTCCTTTCATGGACACCGCTGGCGTTTCAGCCCGACAGCGCCTGCAGCGCATTGCCCTGGAGACGGCCAGTCCCACCAGGCACCACCTCAGACATCACAACTCATTACATACTCGGGAGATAAAATTTTATCCCCGGTTAATGATGGGCAGCAAAGCCGATTCTAACTCGATTTGTACAAAATTCCTGGCAGCAAATGCAGAATTCATGACTCAGTCTCCTGCTAACCCCATTAGCCCAGGAGCGCACGGCTCAGATAAACTGAATGGCCATGGAAGAGGCAATGGAGAAAAGCAGAGCGACGCTGTTTTCCCCTTCCGTGGCTTGCCCAGGGCGGGCGTGCTGCTCAGGAGCCTGCACTTCTACCTCCTTCACCCCTTTGATGTCCAGGGTGGATTGACCCTATCGGACCCCGCCGGCTACGGCGCTGCCGTCCCACAGGGCGCCAGCCGGACGGCGGCACCGCTGCCGCTGGAGAGTGAACGGGGATGCCAGCCTGCTGGCAACGGGCGCGCGGAAGCCCCCCTGCCATTTGGGAACAATCTGCATTCCCAAGCGCAGGATGCAAGTTGGAAAACGCAGCCAAGCTGTGACAAGACTCCGTCAAATCTCCTGAGCCTCGCAGGACCGCAGAAGTGAACCGGGCTGGTAGCCCATGAACCCGAGCCCAGGAGCCCGAGGCCCCACGAGGAACCTCCCTAGGGGCTGCGGGGACGCCAGGCACCCCAGGCACCTGCTTAATTAGGCACCGAGGTGACAAGGACCTGCTAGATTCGCGTTTGAAAGAAATCAGAGAAGCATCAGAGGTTGGCTGGTTGGATGACCCAAGGTAACTCAGAGAAATGAGATTTGAATCTTTTATAACTAAGCAGCACGTGTGGGAAAAGGCTTGTTAAAGGCAAGTGCCCCCCTGAAGTCTCAGCAGGGAGGCCGGGTCACTTGCTCTTAGCATCACTGCAGAGCAGCTCTATCCTTGTCCCGGTGTCTCACAGCTTCTCAGGCTTGATGTTAAGATGTGCTGAGCATCCTGTGAGAGCAGAAGATGCTAAATCACTTACAATTCGGGATGGGATCTAAAGCTACCTTTGCTCAGGTATATTCATTTAGATAAACACTACAGTGAATACATTACATGCATGGAGAGCTCTTTAAAAGAGCTTATAAAGAACCTTCACTTCTGTGGTACACCGATACCTGCAAGATTTTCTATTACTGAAAAGGAACTGAGAGAAGTGCATAAAGAAAAAAAAACCTAAAAAGATTTTCCGTATAATCACTGTGCTAGCAGGTGATCAGAGGTGCTCGAGTTCCACTGGAAAGGGACAGGAGTCCTGCAGCTAGTAACCGGCAAGAGAGAGATGAAAAGACACGCTGTGAAATCTGATTTGGGAAGATTACATCAAATATTGTGTACAAGGAAAAGGACAAAGAAGGAGCTACTTCATCACAGCCTTCCACGTCTAAATCGGCTTCTAAATCAAGAAGATCAATTTTCAGGACTAGTGAATGAAAGACTTTAGAAAGTTGATCTGTCACGAGGAAAAATAGAATAACTATTATATATAAATATATAATATATATAAATATAATATATATATAAATAACTATTTATATTAATACATATAACTATTAAATAACTATTTATATATATAAAAATATATATAACTATTTGCATTATTCTCTGCATTAGCAAATTCCAGCTTGTAGCTGAATAAGAGGTAAATGAAAAAAATCATTGGACTCAAGTCTCCTGGGACTGAAGATTGGGAACTTTTCCAGAAAATGCGACTGAAACAAGTCACGATGAAGCAGTTAAAATAAGACTGGATTTTTGAGAAAAAAAAATAACATAGATTAGAGCAAGTCTTTCTCATCCTTCCCTAAGCAAACCATTGCCAAGGCTTCCACGGACCTCCCTTCCAGGGATCTGCCGGCAGCTTTTGGAGAGGTTCACCTAGGCAGCAGATTTGGTTCAACTTGGTAACCTTCACAGTGACCTTCAGCCAAGCAGACTGGAGGTCTGCAGGGACCTTTTCCTCTTGGCCAGAGGGTCCTTGCCACAAATAAAGGAAGCCATTAAAGAAAGGAGAAAAAAAAAAAGTTCAAAGTTTTCTTTAGTTCAAAGAAAAAAGAAAGTTTTGTATCCTCTCTGACCTAACATCTGATTGGAAAAGGAGATAACCAAAAGGAAGCTCCTTCTGGCCCTGACTCAGATGTCACTGTGAATATGGGGGTCTGTCCTTCGAGTCGCTGCAGACGTCAGAGCAGTAAGTCAGGCAGAGATACTGAGGGGTAGGGCTGCTTTTGTAAAACACAGTTAAAGGCACTTGGCCGAGGTCCTCTCACCTATTTGTGCTGGAGGACTGTTAAAGAGCAGTATTTTCAGTGCTCTCCCTTGTCGAGCACGAAGCTCCCGAGGGCTGGTGGGTGTCTCGCTTCTCCAAAGCTTGAAGTCACAAATGAAGGGAGAAAAGAATCCTCCAATCAGAAAATGTTAATTATTAAAAAGAAAAAACCCTCAGATCACAAGACAAAGCTGTATCAGAAGCTATAACTGCCGGTTCTTTTATTCTTCTCGATTTTCTTTCTGAAAGAGAGAAGGGGGCAGCAGAGGAAGAGCACTCGCTCGCGGGCAACATCTCTGTGTTCGTTACAGAGAGCGTCCTTTCAGCCGGGCCTCGTGCAGAGGGGCTCGCACGGGCAGCTACACGAGGCACCCGTGCTGTTAGGAAGCCAGCGTGCACTTAAACAGCAACCTTTATATGTCACTTCCAGTGACACTTGTTTCTAAAGAAAAGGAGGGAAAGTAACATATAATCTAAAGTTTATAGAAAATCTCAGATGGTATTACAGGTATTTCATCATAAATCATTTAAATTGGAACAACTCAATTAAATGTGAACTGCTCTGTAAGATCACTAATTTTTAAAATAACACAAAAGCCTCATTTAGTCCAGGCTCAGGCAGAGGCAGATTCAGCTCTGAGTAAAAAGTGACATTCGTGGATACCCACGAAAAGAGTTAACCCTCCTTGCGCCACGTGTCCTGCTCTTAACCACTCTGAGGCTTGAACAGGAGAAATGGGCTCATGACTGTGAACTCGTGGGGGGCCAGCAGCGCCGGGCAGGCAGGAGGGACCACGACCAAGATGAAACGGGAGCAGGAGGAGCCGCTCGAGCCGCGGGGCCGGCGGCCGCTCTGCAGCGACAGCCACGGGAGCCGCCGGTGCCGTGCCGGGGCGCTGCTCCGCTCCGCGCGACCCCGGCGAAGACGGTGCTCACAGGACGACGGGAATCCCTGACCGGAGCTGAAACGTTACCTTCTGCCCTCCAGCTAAATTATAACCCACCCCCCAAAAAGACGACTTTTCAATTTTGCCTAATGGCATGTGCTCCTAAGTCATCTGAAAACTAGATTTTGGTGAACCTCTAGGGCTTAGTTCACCTGGGCCTTCACTGTTTACAAAAACGCACCCCGACCCCCAAAGCGGCAGAAATCCCGCAGGAAGCAAAGGAAGAAGCTGCCTCTTCCGCCCGCCACCCCCGCGCGTGTCAGTGACCACGGGGGCTGCAGCACAGGCCGCTCCCGGCCCTCTGCGCCGAGAGCGACCCGGCAGCCTCGTCCCCTGCTGCTGCTACTTTTGTTTTCCCCTCAGGGAAAGGGGAAACTGCCGCGAGCAGCGTTTTAATACCAGGAAAAACACTCGAGGGCAGAAAGAAAAGGAGGCGGCCGGAGCACAGCGGCGCCCTCGGCAACCGCGGCTCGCCGCGTCCCTAACGGCCGCTGTCCGCGCGCCCCCCAGGACGCGGCGCCCTCCGCGGCCTCACACAGACGCCCCGCACCAGCTGCAGGCCCAGCCGGGCCGGGCCGCGCGGTCCCGCGCCGTGCCGCGCCACGCGCCCCGCTGCCCTGCGCCCCGCGGAGCGGAGGCCACCGCGGCACCAACCGCGGCCGCCGCCTCCGGGCCGGGCCCCGCGGCGGCTCCGCTCCCGCGCGCGGCGGCTCCGCGCGCCGCCTCACGGGGGGCCGAGACCCCCCCACCCCCACCCCGTGACAGCCCCGGGCCGGGGGGGGGACACGCGGCGGCCCCGGCCCGTCACGTGACTCACCGCGCGACCGGCACGAGGACTCCGCTCCCGCCCGCCCGCCGCGCCGCAGGCCACGCCCCCGCCGCAGGCCACGCCCCGCGCCGCCGCTCAGCCCCGCCCCAGGGCGGCTTCTCCCGCGCCCGCCCCCCCCCATTGGCTGCGCGTTTGGTTCTGCCTCCCCGTGGTTGGCGGGGAGCGCCGTCGAGGGTGTCGCGGCCGGAAAGCGGCGCGTTGCCGGGCAGCGCTTTTGCGACAGCGCCGCGCTGTGGCGGCGGGGCGGGGACCGGAACCGGAGCGGAGCGGACGGCGGGACCGGACCGGAGCGGAGCGGAGCGGAGCATGTTCGGGGCCGCGACGGAGGAGGACGACGCGGACTTCCTGTCCCCCGCCAGCGGGTGAGCGCGCCGGGGGCAGCCCGGGGCCGCCGCGGCCTCACCGCGTTAAAGCAGCGTCAGCGAAACCGGCGGTTCGGGGCGGAAAACGGCGCGGGGGCGGCTGCGCAGCGCGGCGGGGCCGGGCCGGTGCCTCTGGCTGAGCTCGGAGCAGCCCCGGCCCCGCACCGGCCGCTGGCACTGCGGGCACGGGCAGTGCGGGGCCTCTGCCCGGAACGGCGCCGTTGCCGCCGCTTCACACCGGCGTTTCTGCGTGGTTTCGGTTCCTTGTGCCGCGTTTTGGGGAAGCGGCACAGGGCTGCGCCGGTCGCTGCAGTCGTCCCGTGATGTAAAGCTGCTCGCTGTGCAGGGGGTTGCGGGGCGTAGCGCTGGTAAGCGGTTTGTGTCGAAGTGCAGTTCACAGTCAAAAACCTTCCCCACGTTTTAGGCTTGTGCCCTATGACTTCGCTTCTCTTTCCAGCGCCAGGTTGGCCTCGCTCTTTGGCCTGGATCAAACGGTCTCGAGCCATGGAAACGAGTTTTTCCAGTACACTGCCCCAAAGCAGCCGAAAAAGGGCCAGGCAGCAGCCGGTGAGTCTCGACGCGGGGCAGCGCGTCCCCTTGGGGGAACGGCAGCCGTCCCAATGAACAGCAGCGCATATATTTAATATTTCTAACTTTCCTGATATTATCTTCCTGTAGTATTCCTTCTCTACAATTTTTCCAGTGACCTTTAGTGATTGTGGCGGGTTTGCTTGTTGAATGCCTAGGAGAAGTTTGCTGGCTTTCCAGAGAAGTTGTGTTAAAAACATAAATGTTTTTAGGACTTGTTTTGGGAACTTCCATGTTTTGATGTGTCAGAATTTACACACTGGAGGGGGTTCTTCCCAATTCTGCTGTAACACTCACTGAGGAGAGAAAACTTTATTCTTATCTCTACTATGTTCATTTTCCTTGATTTTTTTTTTCCTCTTTGCCATTAGCTAGTACTTCTTGACATTTTCACCCATTTTTCTTCAAATTTAAATATGAGTGTGATGGGTTAGTTTGTGGTTTTGGGGGACAATGTGTGGGAGCAAAGCGTTCTCTCCCCATCCTGGTAATTTTGAGTGTAGTTAGAGCTTGAGTCAGGCCGTGGTTTCTGGTGTAGGCAGTGAAGCAACACAAATACATATTTACATATACACATGGATATAGGGCATATCCATCCAAGGGAGATTAAGGATTTAACTTCCTTAATCCACAAGTTTCTGTGGTTTTGCTAAAAGTCAAGACCTAAATGGTATTTCATGTTGCTCTCTTGTTTTTTATTTAAATAAAAAACAATCCAAGAATAGAAATCTATCTTAAGTACTAGTTTTATTATTCAAATAACTGCAGTATCTTTTCTTCCCTCTGTCATCTGGATGTGGAGGTTCAACCACAGGTTTATAACAGCAGTAGGTGTTTGGAGGACATAATTGCCAGGGCTTTTGGTCTTTTCTGGAGTTATTCCAGCACTTGGGAGAAGGAAGATTTTCTGGCATTGGCACTGGGTAGGAAACGAGACAATTTCGTATCTTTGAGAGGCTTTTTCCTGCTTTTATCCTTCAGCAGCTCCGCCAGCCCAGAAGGGTCCCGCAGCTCCGGCCGCCTCCGGAGCCCCCTCGGTGTTCGTGGCCACCGCGGTTCACGCCTATCGATAGTAAGTACAGGAAGATTCCTGCCTTGCCTCCTAGGGTCTGCATTTCTGGAGGCCTCTTGTAAGATCTGATCACCAAAGGAAGATATTTTTGAATGAGTGGGAAGGGACCTCTTTTTGCAGCATGTTTCTATGTGCTACAAATACTGCAACTCAGCACAAACTGCTGCTCAGAAAAGTCTTCGGTTATTGTGCCGCAGTTCAGGATTATGCGGTTGCTGGGTGAATATGATGTCCTGGCCTTGTGCATGGCAAGGAAATGTAGAAGTGGGGTGTTGCCTGACATTTACGCTGTTTGTGGGCAGCCCTGTCATGCCCTTGTCTCGTTTTCACTTGTGGAGTTAGTTAGAAGTTGGAGTTAGAGTGAAAGGGGCAAAATTCTGCATCAGTTTGACATTGCTGTCTTGTAAATACTCACCCTGGATCCATGGAAAGAATAGTTTTCACCCTGCAGTGTGTGCTCCTGTGATCTGTGGGCTAGCAAGAAGGCTGTGATTTCTGTAAGCTGAATGAAAAAAGGCTGCCTAACACTTTAGACGTGAAGAAATGAACTTGAACTCTTAAGAGGAAAAACTCAGTGAGAGCTGGAGAGAAATCTGAGGCAGGGCTGGTTCTGCAGCTGAATATCTCACTTGTCTTCCAGTACAAATGGGCAATATTTGAAGCAAGGCAAGTATGGAGCAGCTGTAGTGGGGAACCATGCTACCAAAGAGGTGAGAAAGACTTTCATTTCTGCAGTCAGCTTTTGTCAGAGCTCTTTTTTTTTTTTTTTTTTTTTTTTTTTTTTTTTTTAATAAGATCTCTTCAAATTGAAGCCTGAAGTGTTTTGGACTGGATCAGGCGCTTTGCCTTTTGCTTTTGTTTGTAGAAGTTATTTTGTTTTTTATTCCTTACTTCTTTGAAAAGTGGATCACAAATCTGTGCATGTGAAAATGAATGTGCGTTAAAAAAAATCTGTCTAAACAGTATGGAGATGCTTCAAGTTCTGTTATTTTTGGTGCCAAAAATATCTTTCCCCAATCCTTCCTTTCCAAGTGCTCCTCTGACAACGTGATGATGGGTGGCCAGTAAAGTGGTGTGTTTAAAGGGGGAAATGTACTCTGAGCTGTCCTTGACAGTTGGTATTTATGGTGTTACCTGTCCTCTTAATTCCTAGCTCATGTTGTCTTGCAAAGTTACTTCTGCTGTAGTAATACCAGTGACAGTAAGCTACTTCTAAGTGACTGAAATTTTAGTTTGAGAACTGAATTATTATTCCTATGCATCATGTATGTATGAGTTTCGTTTAACAAAGGTTTCCTGCACTTCTGTTCAGTAACTGGGCAAGAAATGTGTATTTGATTATCTCGCAGTAAGCAGGATGCCTTAGCTTGAACATTCAAGGACTGCTCAATGCCCATATGTAAATAAAACTTCTATGTTTGCAAGTGCTTTTAATAGCTATTAGAATTGTGTTGTTAAGCTTTCTTTTGCCGTGAACAATGCTGCTGAAATGTTCGGCACACAAATACTGCAGTTAGACTCGGAAGTTGACAAAGCACACTAGAATTTAAGACACTTTGAGTTTCTGCTCTTTGTCTTTTTTCCTCTGTCCAATTCTTTTGTGGAATCCAGTACAGGATCCTCCTTTACATCAGTCAGCAGCAACAAGTCACGTCTGCAAGGATCCACCCAGGCTTCATGCTCACGGTAGGAATCTTCTTCAGAAAATCTTTGTCTTAAGCATCCAATAATCCATCCTGTTCACGGCAAACAAAAGTTGACTCTGAAATTTCTCAAGTCCTAGATTGCAGCTCTTGAGATCAAGCAGCTGACCCGTGTGTCAAGAGGTGCCTCAGTGCTCGGGAATGCTGTGCGGCTCGTGGGCATTGCACAAGAGGCTTGCAGCTGCCTCGTGCGCTGCAGGAGCTGTAGCACTGCCCCCAGATTGCCAGGGGTGTTTTGATCTCTCAGCCCTGTTGTGGATAGTAACAATTCCTCTCACTAATACTTGATAATAAAGTGTCTGAGAGAACACACTGAACCAGCAGACGGAAAAGGTGACAAGAAAATGTTTCCCATGTGAGGTCTCTTGCTCAGCATTTTCCTCCCTGTAAGAACCCCTCAGAACACTGTGACTCCTGAAATGGGATTTTCCAGGAAGACTCCCTCCCTGACACACACCAGTTTCATAGAAATTGTAACGTGTGGTTGTACAATTGTACAGCTGTGCAAGTACAGAAGATGTGCTTGTAACTGAGTAATATTAAACTTCCTGATAGAAAGAAGTTCTGCGGTGAAATAGTCGTATTTCAGGCCAAATATCTGAGCAGAATTCTGTCAAAGCCCATTTTGAAAGATGAATGAGTTGTGTAGTGAACTTATGAAGTGGATTTTTGAAAGTGAGGAATATGTGACCCCCATTGATTCTGAAAGTCCATATCTAATCAACACTTAAAAAGTTTCTTATATTCTAAAAATCTAAGTAGATATTTCAGAGCCTAGCTTTAAAGGGCTGTCTTGTGAAAACTACAGCATTTCTGAGGAACTTAGTATTTGCTGTAGTATTTGAGCTGTTGTTATTCTTCCAAAATATTAAGCATGAGAATGAGAGCTAATCTGTGTATTCTGAACTTGTAATACAGCAATGTTCTTCCTCCATCTCTGCTTGATTCCAGTAGCTCTTATTTTAACTACCTTTTTTTTCTCCCTCAATTGAATGAGCCTTTTAACATGTAATACAGGACTGATTTCCTTTCTCACAGGTGCAACCCAACAATTACAGTGCGTTCTATGATGATCAGCGACAAAACTGGTCGATCATGTTTGAGTCAGAAAAGGCAGTGATGGATTTCAGTAAGCAGGTAACAACTTAAGCCAGCAAGCCATGCCTTGCATTCAGCTTGGAGTATCTCTTACCTCTGGTGGTATTTCTTATAAAAGATTCTGAAGAGCTCTAAGAGCAGTGCCTCTGTAAAGATAAAGGTGTTCCATGCTCACAGCTGGGCATAATTCAGTGCAGGGAAGCATGTCTCATAAGTGCCTCTCTAACCTGGGCTTGATCAGTATGGTAAGAAATACATCAGGTATGATGTGGTATGTGCTAAGTCATAGTGAAACCTGTCACTTATTTAATGACCAAAGAGATTGACAGGCCATCCTTTTGCAGGTCTGTATTGCCAAATGGAACAGCTCCCCAGTGTTTGACTCGGTCCTTTACCAGGATCTCCTTCTTGGAGAGGGGCAAGGAGCAGAAGGAGGAGACTCTCTAGAGGTTGCCTACACAGGTTGGCTGTTCCAGAACAATGGCATTGGGCAGGTAAAAACGCTCCTCTTACCTCCTATGCTAATGAAGTGAGTGGAATGGTCACTATTGTGCATAAGTACTGTGTCTAGCACGCTATTCACACTGATCTTGCAAATAATTTTTTCAGTCACTTGAAACATGTCTGAAATAAAGGTATTGGCTACAAAATCATAACTAAACCCTGTTACTCTTCAAGAGGAAATGACTGAAACACTCTTGAGTTTCAAAACACTTTTGCATAGTAATTTTAAACAATATGTTGAGCAGGGACAATGAAGCTGGTTATATCCCTTGAAAACCGCTTGATGAGTTGATAAAAATAGGCTTGTTAGGCACAAAATGCACCTCTAAACAGGAAAAGAACGAATTTGCCTTTATGTCTTCTAAAGCTGTGTCTCATACAATCTCTTATTAAACAAAAGCATGAATTATGCTTTAATATTTCAAAGTATTGTTATTAAAATACTTAAATGGGTGTTACTTTTAGAAAAATGCATGAAGAAGAGTGTTGCATTTTACCCATGCACAGCTGGGTCTTATTATAAAACAGTTGTCTGTTTTTCATTGTTGAGGAGAGTTTTGTGGATTTTTTTGCCTTGATCTTGACTTCCTGAAAAAGAGATTGCTTCTTTCATTAAATCAGTGATACTATATATTGGAGTTTCCATGTAACCTCCTTTAGGGGCTGTACATCTGCATATGTTGTAATTTAACGTGCGAAGCTGCCAGACAGCCGTGTTGTGCCTGGCTGGACCCATTGTGCTCCTACTGATGCAAGCTTCTGGTGCACCGTTTTTCTTGTCCTGGCCTTCATGCTCAAAGCACTGCTGAAGTCCAAGTCTCCGGCTGTTGTCCACTTTAAAAATTGCTGTAGGATGGAGTAGAAGCTCTAGCCATGCTGTTTGTTAGGAGTTAATTTGGGAAGACAATGGGAAATGCTATGTAAGAAATGCTAGTTTATAAAAAGTTTGTAATTTTTTTTGCCATGGCTTTAATTAGTGTTCAGGATCTTGAAACTTTTAGGAAATCCACCTGACTGTTTCTGTTCTTCAACTCCGTAGGTTTTTGACTCAAATGTCAACAAGGACAAGCTGTTGCGGCTGAAGCTGGGCTCTGGAAAGGTCATCAAGGTAGAACTTCCTGCACTTTTGTTATGCTGAGATTGGGAAGTGTTAGACTTTTGAATTACTGAAGACATGGTTCAGGGTTCATACACAGTTTATTATATATTCAGTTGATAGAAAATGCTCTGCATCAATGAAACACTCAAAACACTTTATTTTTCCTTTGCACAGCATAGCCAAGCTTTTGTTTCAGTAATGGCATTGGAAAGTTCTCCTGTTCCTAGTGCCTGTAGCTGTCTTAATCAGTGTAATTAGAAACAATTGTAGTGTCATTGGTCAAACTGTTTGCTTTCTCTTCTGTTACGTTCCTAAAACCAAAGGGTTGGGAAGAAGGAATGATGGGAATGAAGAAAGGAGGACGAAGGTGTCTCATCGTTCCTCCTGCCTTGGCGTACGGGACTCAGGGAGTGGCTGGCCGCGTCCCTCCAGACTCCACACTAGTGTTTGAGGTGGAAGTTAGGCGGGTGAGTGTCTCATTTAGGTACTTTTTACATCTGTTTAGGGACTGAGTGCCTACCTGCAAGGGAAGAACCTGTGGTTGGTATGATAACCACAGCTCAAACTGTTGTAAACAAAATACCTTGGGAGAATGCCCCTAAATAAATAAAATCATGATATACACATGGACAAAACTTCCGCTAATCTGTTCTACTGAGAAATATTTGTGCTAACTGGTTTGGGAATTGTTTTTATTTTCCTGTTTTGTTTTCTCAAGTGATCTAGAAATCCTTGGATTGTGAGGAATGAGAGGATACAAAGGTTCAGCTTCTCCTGTTAGGAGTTCTGAACCTGCATTGCTTGTATGTTTTTACTTGAAGTGAATAAGCTTGGTGAAGAAGTAGCAGTGAGAAATAAACAAGATGTTGAAAGCTTTTTTCAGCATCCAGAAAAAATGTCTAATTTGTTAGGTGCTTTTTGTTTCAGGTGAAGCTGGTAAAAGAGGCCTCTGGTTCAGATGGACAGAGTGTTAGTTCTAGAGATTCTCTTGCACCTTCTCCAGTACCCAATTCAGATGGCTTCTCTGCAGATCCTGTTTTATTGCCTCCATCTACAATACCTCCAAAGCCTGGGTAAGAGAGAACATGGATAAAAAACCAGCTGCATTAAAAGATGGTAGTGTTCAGAAGCAGCCTCCACAACGTTGCATTCGCACAGCATGTGGCAAATAGGGTTCCTATTTGTTTATGATTATTTGTTATTATTCTCCTGTGGGTCCCCCTGTGTGCCCCTTTGGTGTCATGGCTATGGCAGAGGAGTGCTTGCTTTCAAGGCTCACAGGAAGGTTTCCGCTTGAATATTGGCTTTCTAAAAAAATTAGAACAGCTCCAGACAAAAGAAGCTGCTGTTTTACAGCACAACAGATCTGGCAATGCTTGGGTTGTATGAGTGCTCTCGCAGCAGCTCTCTGAATCATCATAAATTGATCTCAAGTCGTGACCAATTTTCACTTGTGTAATTGCAAATTTTACATTGGGACTTATTTCTTAAGTTAACTAAAGAGGGCAGTTATCCTTCTTGTAAAGTTATTTTTCAATTTGAAGTGCTCGTTTTATTGCTGCAACAAGTAGCTTATCAGACTGGGTCGCAACTGTACGGAATGTGATCCTTGCAGCAAGCAGTGAAGTTACATTTCTGTAGTCAGCTCTTCCACAGCCAGAGAACTTGCCAATAATAACATTTTTTAATCTACTTAAAACACTGCAAAGAATCTTATAAAAGCAAAGAGATATCTTCACACTATAAGAAAATATTTTGCTGGTGGGAGCTGTATTTGATAGTTCCCGTGTATTTAGAAAAGCAGAATGTTAAATCCTGAGTTTTTGGTTGATTAATCTCTAATACTAACACACAGCTGTTTGGCTTTGCAGGGAGCCAGCTGTTCGGGCCAAGTCAAACTCGATCAGTGAACAATTGGCAGTAAGTGCTGTTTTTTAGCTAATTGGGAACGTTGCATAGGGAAGTGAGAGCACTGATTTCACCTTTGCATTTGGTATTGCTGAAGATTAAGTGAAGATCGCACAAGCAAGAGACTCTGCCGTTTATCTTAAAAAAGGCCCCTAAACTGCCATTTATTATAAAGGCTTCCGCAGAGCATGAGGAAGCTCAGTGACAGTTGTGAGTCCTAATTCCTACTTTTCAATGCAAAACTTGTTTGGCTGTAGATACCAACAGGACTAGTTGTCCTTGCAGATAAATAGACAAAGGTGACAGCAAAGAGCAGCTGAGATAATCAGCATAAGTTTATTTGGGTATGTGAGCAAGTTCTTGGGTGTGCTGTTCAGAATAGGAAAGGCTCTTGAGAAATCTTTCTTTACTTAATTTAGAAAAGCCATTTTCTAGACAGACTGAAAACCCTGTTACACTTCATTTTCTTGTCACTGTGTTTTGTGCAGGGATATGCTTTCTGTGTGAGTGTAGTAAGCCAGACTAACAAATCCACAGTGTTATCTTGTACTCTAAAGTCAGAGCTTTTCAGACAGTTTTGAAAAATTGAAAGAACCAGACCTGTGAGTTCAAATGCTAAATTAGTGACTTAGAAGAGCCTAAACTTGACAAATACCTCTGTAATATCTGAAAATCCTGGGCCAATGGACAAATGAAAGGTAATTGTGAATATCTCTTTCAGAACCCAGACATAGCAAAGGCAAAGCTGATTTCCCGGATGGCTAAAATGGGGCAGCCTATGCTGCCTTTCCTTGCTGGGACAGCAGGAAGTCAGCTTGACTCCAGTGACTCAGAAATAGAGGTACTTCTCCAATCGCAAAAATGCGTATTTTTAACTTTTACATGCCTTTTCTGTGGTGTAAACAACCCTCTCTTTGTACTGGGAACATCTGCTTTGTTTCTACTTAGCAATATGATTTAACAATTCCAGTTTGTGTAGTTCAGAAGAGTTAATTGGATAATACCTAATCTCAAGTGGTTTTGAGTTCAAACTGTTTGCTAGCTCTTTAGTGTTCAACGTAATATGTCGAATTGTTTTTAGGATCCAAACACGTTGAGGGGGACAGCACAGCCAGTGGCTCCAGCTCCCCTGAGACCGTTGCAGCCGCCTCACGCAGCGCTGCCTGCAGCGTCCACGCAAGGTAACGTGCTGAGGAGCTTGGCTTTCGTATGGAGAAATCCCACTGCTTTGCGGGCTTGAAGTGCAAGGGATGTGAATAGGAAGAGCAGCCACACTGCAAAATAAGCCATGAGCTGCCCTGTCTCACTCAGAGTGTGTGTGTGTGTGTGTGCGCACGCGCGCGCTTAGGATGGCACTAAAACTTCTAGGATATGTGTTATGTGATTCTTTGTGCAGTAGTGAAAATGGCTGTTCTATAAAGCTTCTGTTTACATCTCGGTAAACAAAAGAAAAGTTGTTGTCCCTGAAAATGGTAGAAATAATAGCAAAAGACATCAGAAGATTGACAGATCTGGGATGGGCTTGACCTGTCTTCCCATGATGAAATAGTAATGCCAGCTGATTATCCTGAATGATACCTAGTGCTAGCCAAGAGCAAAGCACTGCTAAATAATAAGAGTGTGTCCAAACACACTCAAAGGTAGCAGCTACGGATGAAATTTCCAGGAAAGATAACTCTCTTCTTGACCTTATTTCTTATTTGATTTCAAGACACAGACTTGTTTAAGTTAGTGTGGTGAGTGAGTTTTTGTTTGTTTGTTGCTTTATCTGCTTAGTTATTTTGACTGTTGCAAGATTAGTGAGTTGATTTATGTTTAGCTACTTGTTCTGTGATGCTGAATTCCTTTCTCTCCTTTCAGTACCTCAGGCATCTGGTTCTACACCCTTTGTATCTTCTGCTGCTTTGATCCCTGCCACCATTCCACCCCACTCAGCTCTGCCTGGAGGATCACAGGGCTTTCAGGTACCAAAATGAAACTGGAGGGACTTGGCATTTCTGTTTCTGTCCTTTCTCATAAATCTTATTGTCCGTAGCTGGTAGCAAGGACTCCTTCCTGTGATTCTTTGACATTCCCACACTTGTTTCTTGTGCCTATTAGCTATTAATCAAAAAGGGCTGACTTGTTCTGTGCTGATGGTTTCTTAATGATGGACTAAGAATTAACCTGACTTTGTTTAGTATAAGTTCTTATAGTGTGGAGTGGTGAGGTTTTAAAATAAATAAAATAAAATAAAAACCTCCAAGAACTCCTAAAGCAAATGAAACCAAAAGAATTGTGTTTTTTCCCTGTCATGGAATGTTTGTCTGAGAGCACGCACTTAGCGTGGTTGTGGGTCATGTTTCATCTTGCAATAAAATCAGAAGCAGCAGCAAAAGCACTTTGAAAAGATTAAGTGCTGTGACCTGCTTGCTAACATGATAACTTGTGAAGGGGTGAACATGCACATTAAAATGATTTCGATATCAAGTAATGAAGACTCGGAACTAAATATTGTACAAAATTTTATGAATTCTAATAGATTCTAATAGATTGAACTTGCTCTGAAAGGCTTATACAGGAATGGCATTTGCTTATCCCCAAACCACTGCGTCTGCTTCTCAGCTCCAGCCTGTAGGACAGATGTATCCTGCACCTTACCAAGGTAAGTTAAGAACGTGTGTGCTTTGTGGAAGCTTTTGATACCTGCTCTAGGTGGTGTTTGTGATGAGCACTTATGTAGCAGTGGCAGCATAGGCCATATTCATGATGTCAGAATACCGTGCTGTTTCACAAGTTTTTATTTTAATGCCAAGTAGGGGCAAAAGGTTCATAGTAAACTTCTCTCATAGTAAATTTCTTTCTTACCTTAAGAAACTTCAGACAGTGTGAAAGGGGAAGATGCTGCTAGGTCTACTCCCAAGGCTCTCTATTGCTGAAGATGTTTTGTAGCTGATAGTTCAGTTATAATGGTAAAGGTAAAAGTAAATAGTTCTCCAGATACCATGTCTCTCTCGGTTTGGGGAGGAGATGGGCCATCTATCTGTCAGGCTTAGAACTACTGGCCTAAAGCTGGCTTTATTTAAATGCCTTCATTAAGTTTGCACGTGATATAACAAGTATTGCTCTCTATATCTACTTGAAGATGTTTTATCCTGGTGACTGAATCTCTCCATTCTAGCCCCTGGGGATGTTACTTCCTTTTTGATGGCGGAGGCTCGGCAACACAACACAGAAATCCGAATGGCCGTTAGCAAAGTGGTGGATAAAATGGATCATCTGGCTGCGAAGGTAACGGGCGACGTAGGCAAGCTCATTGGCAAAGCAGGTGCCACTTGCTCTCCGGCTGTAGTCCAGGGAGTTGGCTTTATTTAAGTGCCTGCATTAGGTTTGGAAGTGATGTACTAGCCTAACAAAAATTGCGGTAGTATTGGACCCTAAGTGATAGCAATCCAGCACCTATAGAAACGATAAGAATTGCTTTGGGAAGAAGGCCCTTTCTCATACAGTCTTGAACATCATGCAATGCATTCTGTTTGGAGAGTGTCCCTGCTCTTCAGAGCGTGTCACAGTGGACGCAGTGACATATGGCTTAGCACTGTATGTGATTAGGTGGAATGGTTCAATGGTTCTTTATCTGAGTGTCGGACTGTTATCTATGTTCATAAATGCTAAGAATGACTTATTGCTACAGGTGGAGGAGTTAAAGAAACAAAATACTGGTAACAGTTTATTACTACCTGGCATCTCATCAGTCACCATGGAAGCCTCCATGATCATGAGCAACATCCAACGCATAATCCAGGTGAGCATGGCCAGCTTTCTTGACTCCTTTCATAAGGAAGTCACTAAGATCAATATTGAAGCTGGACTGGGCTGTTCTTTAGGAGAATGAGAGACTGAAGCAAGAAATATTTGAGAAGAGCAGTCGGATTGAAGAGCAGAATGAGAAGATCAGCGAGCTGATTGAGCGGAATCAGAGGTAAGGAGTGGGAGGACAGCCTGCCTGCATCCCCAGGGGCTGTTCCAGGATGATACACGTTTAGTTAGGAGGGAGTATGAGGGGTGACCTTTCTCCAGCATTGGAGACAAGTTCTGGGTGTTTGTGGGGGAATGTCTTTTTTAGGGAGCAAGGGGGTGGTGTAAATGTTACACGTGTGTGCTGTGGTTGAAAGTAGCCAAAGCCTGTGGATTTTGGTGTATCAAAAATCTTGGCTGTATGCTAGGAGTAAGCAAGTGCAGAATTTCACAGAACAACTGATGTTATCTATGCTGAACTTTGGACACTCCTCTTCCACCCCATTTGAGATAGTTGCTCTTCAGTGTCGGACTGGATACAGACTTGTCTGGGACTTGTCATTAGGAAAACCTTGAACTCTCTCCTTTCCATCTGAGCCTTTCCCTTCAGTTAAGCACTTACGTAAATGCTTATGCCATCTTCCCCTGTTCACAGATATGTAGAACAAAGTAACTTGCTGATGGAGCAGAGGAACCATTCACTGCAGGCAACAAACGAAAACACACAAGCAAGAGTGTTGCATGCAGAGCAGGAGAAGGTAAAACCGTGGTGACCATGAGCAGGGCCAGAGACTTGTCTGTGCCTACAAAAGGGGCTTGATGTTGCACTGAAATGTGCCGAAGCCGTATTGGCCACGGCCAAAGTCATCTCTTAGGACACTTACCGTTTTCAACTCAGTTTTCAACTCAGCATAGTTTTCAAAGCTATTAGGAATAAGTTTTAAGTATTTTTATGATTTTTCAGAACAAAAGCAACGCAGAGTGTATGAATTTAGATCTTTATAGTGTCAATAGCTTAACAGGAAGATGACTTACTGTTAACTTCATGTGTGGCCTGCAAGCTGAGCTGTTGCATGTATCAGCAGGGCTTCTTCTGGTTGAAAATGCAAATCATTTAGCTGCACTAACAGCTTTTTCTGCTGCAGTTCTTTCAGTGCATTTTTTTTCTGCACTTTTTTAAAACTGAGATCTGATTATTTCTAACAAAACATATATTGTGCTTTTGTGAAAGGGTCTATTGGGGAAATAACTCTTAAAACAGTTAAACGCACTTTTGCATGCCTTTTTATCCCGTAGAAGTGCACTCATCATAGCCTAGCCCTGCCAGACCGGCTTTGGAGTCTAATTGCATGGTGTTCTCTATGTTTTCCCTCAAGCACTGACTTCTTAAGTTACACCAAGTTCAATCCTGTACTGTGCTTCTCTACCCTGAGCTGTATATCAGCAATTAAGTATGAGATAATTGCTTGTTCTGCATGAAAACCATGAATTAGTGCACTTGCGATGATAGGAGTGTCTGATTTCTAAGGTTTGTTAGGAAACACTTCTGTAGGCTAAAAAACAGAGCAATAAATGGCTGCTATGTGTAAGCTGGTGACAGTAGATGAAGGGCAGGGTAGATCTTACCATTGAGACCCCAGGTCATGCTACAGAAATGTCTACAGTATGTAGAACGTGTGACTAAGCAGGAATAAGTCAGCCTGGAATAATCCAAAAAAACTTCCTTTTAATAAAACTTCTTTGTGTTGGGGAGTACCACATCTTACCTGGAAAGTAGCTTGGGAAAAAAGCATCTTCTAGTGGTGTAATTGTCAGGGATCTCTTGGGCCTCATCTCTAGTGTGAATTCACTTGATTTGGTAATCTCTAAGTGATTACTCTGTTGCATGAATACACAGAAAAGCCATAACTTGCACTGGAGAGGCTTTCCCTAGTTCTGAGAGAGTGTTGGCTGTAAATACCAAGGCTGACATTCCTTCATCTTCCTGTGATCTAGACTAGCTTGACTACTGTGTCTAATCCACTGTATGGGAATCTGTCTATAGCATAAGTAACAGAAGTGAAGGAGAAAAATTCTAAACTTCTATTTGTTCTTTACTTACAAATTGGGAATCACCATTTATTTGTGGACATATGCCAGGCATTTGTATCCTGGATCCCCGAGAGGTGATTATCACTTGTTGTCTGTGGGTTAAAGCTCTTTGACCCTTGGAAAGCACATCGCAGATTGAAATTAGTACTTATGGTCCACAAGATTGATAATTTCCCACACTTTTCACTGCACTGAAATAAGTTAAGAGCTGCAGAGTACCAGTCTGCTGCTTGCTGGGCTGTAAATAGTGTGATAGCATGTCGTGTAAGGATACGCTTGGCTTCTTCCTTTTTTTGGGTCCGACTTCACTGCTTTTTCTGTCTTTCGAGCATTTGCAGCTCTTGAAATAACTTACCTGCTTCTGTGGCATGTCTCGGGCTCCTATAATGAAGCACTTGGGTTTTTTTGATGATGATGATGATGATGAAGAATGCCTCTGCCTTTCAAGCTGTGTTCTTAACTCTTCCTGTTTCCTGTTGCCGCTTTCTCTTCCTAGCGCACGCTGCCAGCGGAGCGGGGTTGGGACAAGGTGAGGCAGTGTCTGCTGACTGTGTAGGTAATAGGTAATTGTGCCCTGGGTGGTGCCCGCCGCCTTCCTCTTCAGCGAGCTCTAGGTGCTCCTTGGGGTTAGGAGAATTGCCTCGCATCCTGAATTAGCACGGATGTTTCAACTTGGAAAAGGACAGGAAAATTGGTCATACAACCCCTGGTTGTCCTTGAGGAACCCTTGGAAGAACTTTGTCGTGTTGCTCCTTGTGCCCCATCCTATTCCTGCTGTGGGGAGGTATCATAATTGCCCCATCAGATACGGATCCATAAGGCTTTTGGAGGCCGAAGCTGAGCTAGTATAGATCTGAAGCATTCATGGCAGAAACTTAGGTTTAAGTTCTTGAAATAAAATTTCGTTTTTATTTTTCTTTGTGACCCCAAAGACTGAGGCAAAATAATCTTTAGATGTGACATTTTTGTGTGTGCGTTGTGGTTTTAAGGCTGTTAGCAGCTGGCATCTTGAACTACAGTGGGACACTTTTAGAAATGTAACAGGCAAACAGGTCTGGTTTTAGCCAGGCTCTGCTAAAATAGTAATTAAAATTTAATGGTGTCATATCCTAGCCCTTAAGGCCAGCACGTATTTGTCCTCACTGCAGTCGGAAGGAATTTGCCTTGCCAGCTCTCCTCTGCCAGATGGTGGTCGTGGACTGGAGAGACCGTGTAGAAACTCCAGTTCAGCACAGGAACAGGTTCCCGTCAGCGACAGGAACATCCATTAGGATCTGAGCAGAGGCCCTGATACAGAAAGTGCTTCCCTGCAGCCAGGGAGGTCTCCTGAAGGGAAATAGCTCTGCCTCTGCAGAGCATCCTCTGAAGCCTGTATATTCTGCACAACAGGACTGGGAGAATGGCTTGTTTGTATCTATGTCTTGGGGCCTTTAAGCCTCTTCTAATGTGTTGTTTATGTGCTGTCTAACAAGCTGTATTAGTTTCTGGCTTAAGCAATACTAAATCTGAATGGATCGGCAAATTTTGAGAAGCAGGCTCTAAAATGGCTGTTTTGCCGTTCAGGCAGCTCAAAGTGATCATGTGCTGTGTGCCCTGGAGGGAAGGCACTCTTCTGACCGGAACAGGCCTACGTTATCTGTGGTTTTGTAAGCTTTTTAAGCTTAATTACATCTTGGAGCCCAGGTTTTTCCCTGGATAGATATTGTCATAGCCTGAAAACTCAAAACGGAGCCACCTGTCACCAATGCTAGTCTTAAAAATGTGTTCAAACTCTGTGGGAAGACACACCGAGGTGAGCTGATGTGGTGATGATTGTTGGTAGCTTTGTGCAATTTTCTAGCCGATCTGGACAGGTTACTGCCAAATTACTCAAACTTTGGGGTGCAAAGTAGTTATCACCTCCCCAGCCTGGAAATGTCTCCGAGGAGCTGGATGGCAGCACGCAGGTCTGCACGACCTGCTGGAGCTCCACTGCCCCCAAGACGCGGGCAGATTGTCTCTGACCGGCAGACAGTTGCACGAGGGGGTGGTTGGGCAGAGTAAGCAGAGACTCTAGCTCTCTAGCACTGCATCAGTTCAACCTGTTAAAACAGTTCTGGGGCCTTCTCATACCCGCATGTCTCGCTGTCCCCTTTTTCCCCTCCCGCGATGCAGGCCAAGGTTGTGGAGGAGCTGGCGAGCGCCACGGCCCAGGTGTCCCAGCTGCAGCTGGAGCTGAGCGCCCACCAGAAGAAGGAGCTGGAGCTGCGGAAGCAGCTCTGCGCCGCGCTGCAGGACGCGGAGCGCCACGAGGCGCAGCTCAACCGGCTGCAGGGGCAGCTGGCAGGTGAGCGCTGCGTTGGGCCACGCCGGGGGCTTCCTCCTTTAGCCCTCTGTTCTGTGGAGCAGCGTTGGCTGCGTAGGAAGCTCTGCCCAGTGTTTTCGGAGGAGCCCACGGGGTTTGATGCGCAGAGTTCTTTGCCAAGTCTATCATTTCTGTGCTTTCTTTTCTCAGTTTAGTTAGTGGTGTGGACCCCGTTCCTTCCACAGCTGTAATTAGTGCTCTTTGTCTTGCCTGGCACTGAATGCTTTGGACATCAGGTTTATAGGAATGTGATGATTTCTTCTTGGTGCTAAGTGGGGTGGTAGGGAATAATCCCAGCAGATCTTTCTGTGGCTCAGTGTGGATTCTTTCAGAGTTGACAGACTCTTGGTTGGCTTTTTCCCCGTTTCTCTACGATGAGCTCTTCTGCTTATAGGCACAAGATGTCGTGGTCCCGTTTTGTCGATGGGACAGTTTTGTACGTAGGAAATCCAAGGTTTCACGATGTGCAGTTGGACTGCAGCAGATGCAAGGGTGTTAAAAAGGATGTTGATTCTGAGACATGAGGAGCGTGTGCATCTGTTGCCATCCAAGGAAAGCAACAGAATCATTTTGTCACAGGGACGCCTCTTATGGAAACAAGGTCTGGGCTGCACTGAGATAGCAAACTTTTTTTGCAGAGGGGCCAGAGGCATCTGCTGGTGATTGAAAAGTTTAGATGGAGGTGTTAAGTGTGTGCCTGTTTCACAAAGAACCTCTTGACAAACCCTGTTTCCCCCAGCAGAGGCTAATGCTGTGCAAGAGAGACTCTTCCACCCCCAACCCTGCCCCAAAACGTTAAGCTCGAACGTGCAGCGCTGAGATCCTTAGTAAGGCCTGTTCTTGCAGAGCTGCAAGAAGCCTCAGAAGATACTCAGACTAGATTCAAAGCTGAGAAGCAGAGCCGCAAGCACCTGGACATGAAGATTGCAGCGCTGGAAGAAGAGCTAACGGATCTAAAAGTAGAAAAGGAGACCCTTGAAAGGGTATGTTCAGCTCTAGCATTGCAGAGACATCCAAATCCCCTTTTATAAAAGAGGAAGAAAGGCCACTTTGGTGTGTTCTGGTCTATGCTTAAGTTTTATTCTGTATTTCAGAGCCTTGCAGAGAGGAAAAAGAAATCTCTCACAGAGAGAGCTCAAGCAGAAGAAGAGATGGAAGAGATACGCAGGTCCTACCAGCAGGAACTAGACAAGCTTCGACAGTTGCTGAAAAAGGCACGGACTTCAACCGACCAGGCAGCAGCAGAGCAGGTGAGGAGGTGTGGGAGCTTCTCCAGCAAGTGTCTGGAAGCCTTGTAGGGATTTATGGTTAGGAAGAGAGCATTAAAAACTGCTCAGATAGATTGAAAGTGGTATCTTTGTACTTCAAGGGAGTAATTTTTGCATGGGGTTCCCTTCTTGGTCCTTCTAAATATGCTACCTCCATGTGTTGGTATTGTGCCTGGGGCAGGGAGTGTTGCTTTTCCATCACTTGCCAGGCCCTCGGCTTTCAACAGCTTGTGCAAATACAGATCAAGTGTGTGTCTTGTTCCTGATGATCTCTTACATGATGGGCAGCTGTCACTCATCCAGGCAGAGCTGGAATCCCAGTGGGAAGCCAAGTGTGAACGTACCCTGGCCTCTGCCAAGGAGCAGCACGTTAGGCAGTACCAGGAGGTGTGTGAGCAAAGGGATTCTCTGCAAGAGAAGGTGTCTCAGCTGGAAGAGAAGGTAAAGAGTGTTCCTCACTATTGCAATGTAATGCCACATCACCAGTAGCTGCAACCAGCGGTTCCCTGCCACCTGGTTGTGGTCTGTCTCTTAGCTTCAGTTCAAAATCTTGTGGAATTTGCACATTGTGGTGGGATGTGTCTGTGCTTGTCTCTGCAGCACTGGGTTGGTTGGGCAGTAAGTCTGCAATTTGCTACTGCAACAGTTACAGTCTCTGCTGAATGACTGTTCTGTTGGATAACAGTCACTCGAATGAAAGTTGTCTTGAACTGAGTGATACTGAAAAGGGCTGTGAACTAATGGGTTTTGGCTCTTGTCTTTCAGCTCGCAGCTCTAAAACATTCCAAAAAAGAAGAGGAGCAGAGATTTTCAGAGTTGCAGCAACGTTTGGAGGAACTAGAGCCCATCAAAGAGAAGGTGGATATAACCTGCTGTGATAATAATTAGCCCCAGACCACCATATCCAGAACAAAGGCATGAGTACCTGGCTGGAGTAGGGGAAAAAAAGAATGGGACAGGGCTTCCAGCAAACCAGAGCAGAGCCAGGGATGAGATGTAGCCCCCTTTATTTTGGGAGCTCAGTAGCGCTGTGACTACTGTGGGTGTTATGCCAGGGCTAGGTTTATTGTGGTTCTGTCTGTGAAGGGGTTGTAACTGCGGGTTTCTCCTTGGCAGTATGTGGCCTTGCAGGCTGACACGGCGGTGCTGAGGGCTGCCCGTGAGGAGCCCGTGCAGGCGCTGGCCAAGGGTCAGGATGCATCTCCACCAGCAGACTTCGTAGAAGAGGTGAGCTTGGCTAGCAAGTATTTCTCCTTTCTCCTAGGCAGATATGTTCTCTTATCTTAATTTATTTCTTGCTTAGCTTAAATTATTTCTCAAGTTTGAGGGGTAAGGTGTGAGTGTATTTATCCTTAGTAAATAAATTAATAAATGTCCCTTAATTGTCCTTACAAGTCTTATCTTCTGGACTCCCGCCACCACTACCACCACAGAAGCACTGGCTATCATATGTTTCTAGTAGCAGGGCCTATAATGGAAGAAAGCATGTGACTTTTAATTTTGGCTGCCAACTCTGTTGCTTGATCTTTAAAATGAAACTTAATATTTAGCCTTTGATTTAAGGATTTAGAGAATAATAGAGAATAAACAGCAGCCTGCCTCAGTTCACAACCTGCTTCCATTCTGGAGAGGTTGCTTTGTGCATATAACTTCAGAATGAAACAACAAGAGTAGTACTAGAATTGCTAATCTGAAGAACAAATTCTTTGAAACCAAATGAATTTTTCTGCGTTTATTATTTCCTTGTCTGGAGAAATATCTGATTTTGGGGAGTCCAGTGCCTCACAATGAGTGACCTGCCTGCTGTTTTCTTTTGCTCTTCTAGGTAAAGAAGATCATGAATGGAGTGTTTCAGTCTCTTCGGGGTGAATTTGAACTGGAAGAAACATACAGTGGCAGGACAGTTCTGGGTGTCGTCATGAACACTATTAAGGTAGAACTGAGATTTTTGCAAGGTGCTAAGTCAGAAATAAGATTTTTGCTAACGCACCAGTTTTATTCTGAGTCTTAGATAAGTGTTAAGAAGTTTGTTGTGAGTAGCAAGGCAGCCCAACAGTGGAAGAAGTACCTTGGTAGTCCATCTAGGGTGTAACCTACGTTCTCTCTACTCAATTTCTTTTTAGACTGTGACACTGCAGCTACTCCACAGGCAGCAAGAGAGACAAGAGCATGGCAGTAAAGCAGAGGGATCTGGGACGGGAGCAGGGAAACAAGAGGAATCACTTGGAGCAAAGGAAGACCATGAAGAGCCCGTACTGCATAGCCCAGCACAGAGCTCTGCGTGCCCATCCGGTCCCAGGGAGGTAACCACAGACCTCGCAGCCTCTGCTCCGGAGGATGAGCCTGCTGCTGTGGCTGCCAGGCCAAGACCCCCAGAGGAAGAACAGGCTACACGCAGCAATGGAGTGTCAGGAGAGGAGAAGGCTGTAGAGGTTTGTGGGGAACTCTGCTCCTCCTCTTCAGGACCTGAATCCTGCCTCAACCCTGATAAGGGCCTGCTGGCTGCAGGACAGCCAGTTCCTCTTGTGGGTGAGGACTTCATTTCAGCTGCCCAAAAGGAGGAGGGCGCTTCCATGAGAACAGCTGAGAATGGGCTGTGCCCCTCAGGAGCGTGTTTGCAGGCAGAGGCTGGAAAAGCTTCTGCTCTAGAAACAAAGCCGAGAGAAGTGGATGTGACCATGTTCCCAGAGCAGCAAGTTGCAGAGGAGGCAGAGGAGCTCGTGGAGGGGCTAGAGCCCCCTCCCCTGAATAGTGAGGGAGGGAGCTGTGCTGGCCCCTCCGACGGGGACAGCCCTGAGGATCCTGCTGCAGCATCCCGTGCGGAGGAGAAGAGCCCGGCTGTCGTCAGAGAGACCACGGGATGCCAGGACCAGGGCTCCAGCACCGGGCAGGAGGATTCCAGGTGAGCCAAGGCCGCTGCGGTGGCCGGTGTCTCGTCTCTGCCGCGTGCTCAGGGGGCAGCACGTACTGTGACGGGGTGACACGGCTGGCCAGGCTCCCGTGTCCCATGCAACACCCATGTGCCATGTGGGCCGGGAGCGCCACGGGTGCCCTGGAGCGCAGCGGGGGGTGCCTGGCCAGGCACCTGGCCGGGTGCTTGGGAAGCCAAGATCCCATCAGCAGCGCGTGAACTGCTAATTCTTTATGTTCTTCTAGCCTTTTTGAGGATGAGAACTTCTTCAAAACAGCATCTCATAAAGCACTGAAGCCTCGAATTCCATCTGAGGAGGAAGAGGAGGAGGAAGAAGTGGTAGGTGTTTGTATCCTTCCATTCCTACTAAGCCACTCCTGCAGGAACCTCTAGTTTCTCTGTGAAATCCTTTCCAGGGCAATGGGAACAGACTGATCGTGGGTAAGTTGGGTCAGAGCTTCCCATGTATTCTGTTTTAAAATTTGCAATACCTGGGGCTGTTCCTTGTTGAGCTGCATGCGACATGGCAGTGACAGCCACCTCATGCTGACAGGGAGCTAGCAAGATTGCCCCATTAATTCGAGTGTCATCGTGAGACTAGTGTTTTACGGTGTGGTTCAGAGGATTGTTAGTGAGAGATAGTTAGTGATGGGAGATAGATAGGAGAGTTAGTTAGTGATAGGAGATCCCTCTCCTATCCTTTTCAGGTTTTAAACATCTCTGAGGATCCTTCTCAGTCTTGAGTGACAATGTGACAAAGATGGGAATACCAATAGTCGGGTTTCTTGATAGAATCTCCCTAGAGCTGATGAAGATTCTGGAGCCTCTTGAATTGCTTGGGAATTGCTAAATCCTGGGAATTTAGCTGTTAAAACTGACTCTGGTTTTCCTCTGGTTCCCCTTCCAGAGCATGAAGGGGCGCCCCCCTCCAGCTCCGCTCTTTGGGGATGATGATGATGATGATCTGGACTGGCTGGGATGAAGAGCTGTCTGGCAAGCCTGGGAGCAGTCTCCTTTGGGCATGGCCTCCTCATGTGCACTTGGCACCCACAAGCAGCCTGTATGGGATAGTTGTGAACAACTGTGAACTTTCTTGTATTGTGGGCTCGGGGGTCTGGGAGCAAGCGGCTCCTTTGCACTTTTGGACAGTCAGACCCCTCTTTGTGACCTGACAAACGTGCACGGAGCGTGGGCCTGGCTGCAGGGACTGACCGGTCTTGCTGCATGTTTGTATCGCTGTCCTGCTTGTGCGAAGCCTTGATTCAGTGATCTGGAACTTTAGGCAAATGTGAACCTTGTAAAGCATTTCGGAAGAACAAGTTGGGCAGAACTTTGTATTAGATTCTGATTTTTAAACAGACTAAAATCTCTCCTCCTTCCCTAGTGAGGATCCCTTTGGAATATTGCAGTGTTAGTGCCCAGAGTGGCTCCCGGGAGCTCTGCACCAGCTCCTCACCACGTGCTAGCAATGGAGGTGAGTGATTTCCCCCAGGAGAGCCAGGGCGGGCGCAGGGGCTGCACGGGCGGCCTGTGGAAACCCCGGGGCTGGGGGACCCGCCGGCCCATGGGAGCTGCACCCCACATGGTGCCTCCCAGCCCCCTCGGCAGCAGTAGCCACACGGCTCCGCTGGGCAGCACGCCGAGTGCAGGGGGAGCAGCTGGCAGCTCTGTTTCCAGAAGCCAAATCCCCATGCGTGTCTTGAGGAGCAGCCCGAGGCTCACCCAGGACACTGCTCCATGCAGACTGTTACAGTCCCCTTTTCTCACTGCTCACAGCCAGAGCTGAGATCTTGTCTGGGTTGTGCTGCGTTGGCAGAGGAGGCCCCTCCCTAGCAGCAATACAGCCCTGTCCGTGTGCTCCTCCTCCAGAGACAGAGAGTTACCCTAGCCCAAGTCTCCTGTGCCTTTTTCTCTGCTGCTGCTCGAAGTGGCATGAGGTGAAAATACCAAATGGTGGTTGGTGAAGGCCAGGTCAGGATGTAGCGTGTGCCAGGCTACGAAGGCGTCGGGCTGTAACCTCTCGGTCTAAGGGGAGCAAAACAGAGAAGTGGGCAAGTAGACAAACACCTGGAATCTCTGGCACTTTTAGTTCTAGACTCACCTGCACTAAGACAGTTAGAAATTGGACGTGGGTATTAGTAACTTTAAAAACAAGCAGAAAAAAACTTTCCCCTTAAGGTGTAAATTATTAAAACAGTTCCACTCCCCTTTAAGTTCTACAACTGGTGTTATCATCTCAGAACTGGCCTTGATCTAGTGCTAGGTGCAATTTCTTCAAAGAAAAAAAAATTGAACATGGGGCTGTCCTGCACTTAACTTGGAGCCGGGCACCAGGGCCCTGCCCTGCTTTGCACACTGCCACATGCAGCTGAAATTGTGGAAACCAAAGTTTGCAAACTAGCCAACCTGCTCCCCTGCAGATGCTTGTATTGGAGGGTGGATATTGCTGGCATTTCCTTGGGAGCAGCTCCCCAAGTCAAAGCACTGAGGAATTAGGGAGTGCCGAATGCACGCCTGTGAAACGCAGATCTCCTGGGGCTCCCCTCCTTGTCCTGCCCCGCGCGTAGAGCCCCTGGCGTGGCCTTTGGACCCCCTGTCTGTGCTAACGTCCTAGGGGAGGTAGCTGCTCATACTGGCAAATTCCACTTCTCCTTACTAATTGCAGAGGGGGAACCTCAGCAATTTGCATTTCACTTTTAGAAGAATAAAGTGCAATTAAACCTGTTTGTCTCATTGTTCATTTGGTGCGGCATTTGAAACCTAACCTCCCCCTCCTTCCTTTTGATCTTGATGCAGCACAAGCTCTTGCAGCTCAGCCCCTTTCCTGGGCCAGAAGCTGCTGCAGGCTGTGGCTGGAGCTGCTGGGCGCACTGGGCCCAGCCCTTGCCAGGCCGGCGCAGCTCCGCTGCCTCTCGCTGGGCTGCGGGGACAGTGTGTTCTGCAGCCTCCTCTGCTCTGCGCTGCCTCTCGGGGTGGCTGCACAGCTGGAGGCAGCTGCAGGGGCGCGTGGACTGGAGCTCCTAGAAACCCTCCTCCGCCCTGAGCAGGGCCTGGGCTGCCTCATTGAAACTTGTTCCTCTGCACAGAGAGGTGCAGGAGGTGCCACCTGGCCCCTTGGCGCGTGGTTAAAGCTGAGCAGCTGAACCTGAACCCACAGCAGCTGCTGCTCCCTGAGCTTCCTCCCTCCGCGGCTGCTCCCCCGGGCCGCAGGGCCTCCCTGCACCTCCCTCCCTGCCCGGCTCCCTGGAAGAACAACAGCAGCAGCAGTGGAGTGCAGCACCTGCGTCACCTTGTCTTTAATGGCACCAGCAACGGGCTCGCGTCAGGGCTGCCCCGGGCCTGTAGCTGCCACGTCCCTCCACACGCCCGTAGCGCGAGTCGGGCAGTGCTCCGTGCAGCCCATGACCAGGGGCCTTTCCCCCGGTTCTGTCTGTCCAGGCAGTAGCAGACGGATGGTTCCCGGCCCCCTTCCCGCTGCCCCGCGCGGCGGCTCCTGCTGCGCCCCTCTCCCGGCCGCTGGATGCGGCCGCCCCGCGGCAGGGCACCGTGCGGAGGTTTCTGGAGGAGGTTTCCAGCCTCAGCGACCGTAACGGCTCCCGCGGCAGGTGAGGAGGCCAGGAGGGGTCCAGGAAAAGCCGTAAACACAATCGGAGCGCAGCCAAACCCCAGGAGGTGAAGGTGACCGCTGGAATAAGTTAATAGTTAAAGAGTCCGATGCCCGTGGGCCACGTACGGAGCTGCCAGCGGCCACGGCTGGGTGAGCACCAGTGCCCCATGCACCCGGTTCGTGTCCTGGCCGCTGCTGAGGCTTCCCAGCCCCATCCTGGGACATGGCTGGAGCCGGCTCCTTCCTGGGGCACGGAGGTGGCTCTGGAGCCCGCGGTGATGGTGGAGCCGACAAGGGGGTCCCTTGGGGTCCCTTGGCTCACACCACTCGCCAGCTACTTGAGGAAGACGAGCAGGAAGAAGGTGGAGACGATGAGGACGAGGATGCCGGCGGCGAAGCCGAGGCGGAGGTTCTCCATTGAGGCCAGGGGCGGCTGCGTGTCCACCAGCAGCCCCCGGCGCGGCAGCCCCAGCACGAAGGCGCCCGGCGCCTCCGCGCGCAGCCCGCATGGCGCCACGAGGCCGCTCACGGCGAAGACGGTGCCCGGGGCCGCGGCAGCCTCCCCGTCCGCGCGCCCGGGCAGCCTCCAGGCTCCCTGCAGGAGCCCCAGCGCGTCGGCAGCGCCGGGCGCCTCGGCGGCCGGGGCCACCTCGGGCACGAGCGTCACGGAGCGGCAGAAGGGGCAGCTGACGAAGGCGACGGCGGCGGCGCGGCACACGAGCTTGCGCAGGCACGCGCGGCACAGCGAGTGGCGGCAGGGCAGCTGGTGGGGCGCGCGCCCTGCGCCCGCCGCCCGGTACGCCTCGTAGCAGATGCCGCACTCGCCGGCGGGCTCCGCCGCCGCCGCCATGGCGCCGCCCGCACCGCGGCAGCCCCGCGCTGCGGCCCCTTTTGAAGGCCGGCGCGCACGGAGGGCGGCGGGTGCCGCAGGGCAGCTCCTCCTCCGCGGGCGCCGCGCCAGCCGCCGGGCCCGCGGAGCACCCGGCACCGGCGGGGCGGCCTGGCGGCAGTCCCAGCTCCCGCGGCGCCCGCCCCGGCTCTGCTCGGCCCGCGGGGCTTCCCTGGCTGTGCGGGGGCCGCCGTGGAGCTTGCCCCGCGGTCCTGCCGCTCGTGGCCGTTCCCGGCCCCCTGGGCACTAAGGTGACAGCCCGGGTGGGACTGGGAGGCTGGCAGCCAGGCGGGGCACAGCGGGCACCTTTCCAGCATCACGGCAGGGCAGCAAGTCCGGGCGCAGCTGGCAGGACCAGGCGGCAATGGAGGAGCCGGCGGCGCGGGGAGCCTCGTCCCACCCGCACCGCTCCTTGCAGGGGTGACCCCCGGTTCGGGCCAGGCCCTGTGAGACGCGTCCCACCCGAGAGCAGGGCTGCAACCAGCGCCGAGCTCCAGGGAACCGTCCCGCTCGGCGACGTCCCCACACACGCGGGCTGTGCGCGTGGGCAGGAGCCGCCGCGGGCCCGGGCGCTGCCTCTGCCGCCGGCAGCGCGGGAGGCGACCGCGCGGACGGGCAATGCCCAGGGCCTGCGCAGGGCGGGCGCCGGGCGATGCTGCCCCAACGAGGCGCCCCGGCCGCTGCTCCGGCACGAGGCAACAACGGCCCCTTCCCCAGCCGGGACGGTGCAGAAACAGGGACCCGGCGGCAGGTCCTGCCGTGCTGGGCCCCAGGACAGGCCAGGACTCCAGGGCAGAAGCTGGAGCTTTCCGTGCTGCCTCCGCTGCCCCACCTAGACAGGGAACCAACAGTGACCAGCAGAAACCAGCTGCTTTTTACTGCTTCTCCCGGGGAAGGGCTGCCAGGGCGCCCGGCTCAGCCCTGCATTTCACACCTCAAGGCCACGGCCAAAGGCCTTCCTAGGTGGTTACTTATTAATGCTGGGGCGGACAAGGCGTGGACGCGCTCGGCAGCGCGCCCAGCCCGACCCGGCCGCCCTGCGCTGCCGGGGGCACCGGCACCTTCTGCCCCACATGGCGGGGGCCTGGGGCTCCTCTGGGGCTGTCCCGGCTGGGGCAGCTCCTGTGGGGCCGTCAGCGCCCGGCGCTTCCCCGGCAGCCCCAGCTGCAGGACGGGGCCGCTCGCTCTGCCCGCTTCCCGGCCGCCCCACGCAAGCGCCTGCTGGTGCCCAGGCCCACGGCAGGACGTGGCGCTCGCCAGCACCGAGGAGCATCGGCCGCCCGCGGCCATGGCCTCCTGCGGGAGGACTTGTCCGGTGCCCACGCCAGCGCGGGACCAGAAGAGCGCCGGCCATGCAGGAGAGCTGCCGATCACACCGAGGGATCCTCACCTTGAGGGATCCTCACACTGAGGAATCATCACATTGAGGGATCATCACACTGATGGATCATGACATTGAGGGATCATCGCACCAAGGGATCATCATGTGAAGAGATCATCATGCTGATGGATCATCACGCCTATGGATCATCACACCTATGGATGATCATGTTGAGGGATCATCACCCTGATGGATCAACACGCTGATGAATGATCACGCCAACAAATCATGATTCCTGTGGATCATCACGGCAAGGGATCATGACACCTATGGATCATTGCACTGACAGATCATCACACCTATGGATCATCACCCCAATGCATCATCACGCCGGCGGATCACGCAGCGCCAGGAGGACCTTCCCCTGCAGGGATGAGGCGCAGGGCAGCGCTGGCGTCTGCTCGCGCGGCTCCGGCAGCAGCAGCAGCGCTGACCCTGCACCCCGCAAGGCCCGGCGGGGCAGCCGCGCGCCCAGCGAGGACACGTTCAGCCCCGGGACGGTCGCGGCCCCTCATGCTGCCTTCCTGCTGCCTCCGGCCTTTGCAAGGTCCCGGCGGGCGCGGGGCAGGGGGTGGATACTCCATGTGCACAAGGACTGGCTCCCACTGTCCAGCCCGCAGCCCCGCCAGGAGGTTCACTAGCTGCCCAGCAAACCCTCCTCCCGCGCGGCCGGGGCGAGCGGCCGGCTCCGCTGCTGCCCAGCGTGCGGGCGCCGCTGCGGGCAGCCGGGGGACGGCGGTGGGGACAGTGGGGACGGCGGCGGGGATGGCGGCGGGGAGGGCTGCAGGCACAGCCGTGCGCCGCTCGCCGGGACACAGCCCCGCGCGGGAGCCCACGCGAGCTCCAAACCCCGACGGCCCGGGAGCGCATGTGGGAACCGCCGCCCACAGGGAACATGGCACCGCCCACAGGGAGCATGGCACCGCCCACAGGGAGCATGGCACCGCCCACAGGGAGCATGGCACCGCCCACAGGGAGCATGGCACCGCCCACAGGAAACATGGCACCGCCCACAGGGAACATGGCACCGCCCACAGGGAGCATGTCACCGCCCACAGCCGATATGGTGCCGCCCACAGTCAACATGGCGGCGGGGGCGTGGCGCCGCCCGTAGCCGCCATCTCGCGAGACCCGCGCCGCTATATCTGGCGGCCGGCCGCCATCTCCCCTCTCTTCGCCGCCCCTCGCGAGGCCGCCGCGCATCGGCCGCCATCGGCGCCGCCCGCCGCCATGCCGCCCAAGTTCGACCCCAACGAGATCAAAGTGGGTAGGTGCGGGGCGGCGGGCGGGCCGGGGCGCGCGGGGCCGCGGCGCTGCCTCACGCGGCGCGCTCTCTGCCCGCAGTGTACCTGCGCTGCACCGGCGGCGAGGTCGGCGCCACCTCCGCGCTGGCCCCCAAGATCGGCCCCCTGGGCCTGGTAGGGAGCGCGGGGCGCCGCGAGCGGCACGGGGCTGCGCGGGGGGCGGGGGGGCCGC